GTGAGCGTTAGCGGTTCAACTGCTGATTCATTCGTTCACGAGGTATATGTTTGCTCACATAGCATGCCCTGATCATCACTCGATTGCTTGATTTTCGTACGATGTTTAATTTTCTGCGTTCTTTTGCATAGATATTTTTAGATAATATCCTCCGATATATATTTAACTCAAGTATAACGAGGGTAAGGAAGGTAGTCAACATGTTTCTTAAAAAAATGTGTTCTCTTTATGATAGTTTATTTTGCCGCAAAGAGTTTTTTCAATTCACTCTCTGCATTCAAATGTTAGCATACCTTCTGGGAAAGTGCTAGATGTGGTATAGGAACGCCTGTTTCATATATATTGTGATTTAGGAAAGGACAATGTTTTTTTGCACGGTTTCATTTGACCTACATTAGCAAGTTCTGCTGACAAGGGTGATACTAAATATATCCGGTAACGAGGGTGTTTTAAATGCTAACACAATGAGATGTCTCCAATGTGTAAGAGTAGATGTCTTAGTACCGCGTTAGTGCTGTGCCCTTCGCACCGACGGGATAACGCGGAAATTGTCGTTAATTAGTAGGATAGATGACACTCTTCCTTAAAGTCAGAATTACCGGTAGCAGTTGACTACAATTAATAACGTGTGCTGCGATAAATTAGGCGCTGTTCTAGCACCAGTCATCTAAAATTAGTAGTAATTGCATCTATTAAAGGATCGACATAACGTGTGAAACTAGTTAAATTCCTATCAAATTCACTTCCTCTATTGCGTACATGAGAGAGCGTTGAGAAAAAAGTTAATTAGAAAGGAATTCTCTTTGCTGTTCTGATTAGTATGATTAAACAACCGTGTAAGACCTTGTTAATCATAATTCCACACCGGTGTCCTATGGAAGTAAAATGGATAAAATAAAGTTTCGTTTCTGTTCTTATCGAATTAGCCTTCGATTGAGATTCGAATGCCTATGGATGTAATGTAGATTTATAAGCGACCCAAAGAGTTTCAGGACTAATAAGAACTTGGAATGTAGACAGCAGCGTATTTAGCAGTCAATAGATGCTTTCCGGCTTTCTGCTTTCACTACTCGATCTTTATTACTAGGATTCGAGAGTTCGACAGCAATCTGAATTGTACTAAATGTAACCTTCTATCCGCTATAATCTTGCCGTTGCCCAAATTTTACTCGGTTTTACACGATTACAATGTTAGTGTGTTTTCGCTACAATGGTGGTCTTTCGATAACTGGAGTAAGAAGTGATAACTGTTAAGTAACTGTAATAACTAACTGAGTAATAAACTAAACTGCTGGTTAGCAAAAAAAGTAGCATGTCATTAGCATGAAGAATGAAAGTGTTCTTGTTTTGATGAAGTAACGTTTGGATTCGTTTGTTTGACGTTGTAGAGATAAGTTGCTTCCTTTCTTTCACGTATACGAGTTGAGATCAAGTCACATCTTGAACAATGTCTTGTAGTGAAAGATTGGACATAGTAAGCAAATCAGTGCGAATGTTAAATCTTAAATTAAGCCTTTTCGAATAGATTTTTTATTTTTGCCTACTAATTTTCACCTGAACTAATGAGTGAGAGCGAATTTTCTCAGGAATGAGTGAAGAGCAGTGTTTGCTTCTATGTTGCACAAAATCCACTACTTTTATTTGATTTATTTGATTTTTCTTTCGTCAAGTACCTATTAGTTTTTCCAAAAGTCTTGCATAGATAGATATACTCTGCATGTTCCGGTACTTGTTGCATTCGATTCGTTTCTTCGCATCCACCATCCACTGAGATCTTCGGCCAGGATATTTGCCGATTTGTCTTATTTATGAATGTCGATAAATACTGTCGAATTGATCCTCTCACTTTAAAATGTGACCTTTCGATAGCCAACTAGTAAGCTTTTATGTGTTTTGGGCGGAAGGAAGCTTTTCAGACAAGTTTAATGCCATTTCCCCGACTCTGATGAGATGGGGTGGCTTAGTTGGCTTAGAAAGTGGAGTCGAACCAAGTTCACGAGTGTACTGGGCGGCATCACTATCAGTGCAGTGCTACGTGTGCCTCTATATCTAATATTGAAAAAAAGGATAAAGCTCTGAGCGCTGACCAATCTCTGAGGGATGCGTCATGCATTCGACTTTATTAAGCATCGTTTTGAGGTAATTGAATGCATATTTGGCCTGTACAGTGACTTGCGGTGGCTTACCGATGTCCAATTTACCGACTTCGGAATGATGGAAGGGATCGAACTCATGTGTGTTGCAGGGCGCCTGCGACCACTGCGCAACACGGGCGCTGCAATTACACATAGGATCGATCCTTGCGCCCAAGGCTCACCACCATTTGCCCGCCGAAAAGTATCGCTACAAATTCGCTATTTTAATCCGTATAGAATTCACACGTAGGTGTGTATGAGATCTGTTTTTGATTGCTATTTGGTTAATTTTGTTACCCTTTTCATAAAAGTTGAATAGTGTTTTGTATTTGTGCAGCACAACCATTTGATACCCTCCTAATATTTGTGGCCCTCCCGCCTGCGACGAAATCCATCCACCTTTCTTATCGAGAACTGCTTCTTTGTCTTGGAGAATACACTCCACTAAAAAGCTGCTTTTGAATCACTTTAATAAGAAGATATCAGCCTTCTTCGTCGTTATGGAACGTAACCATCAATTATGCAATTGCTATTTGATGCATTTATTGCTGGTGAGCACTATTTCTAAGCTTTTTCCTTGCTTAGAAACTTTCCTTACGGTATTTTTAAAATCCAGTTTACAATAACCTCATAGTGGCTAAAATGGTGCTCCCAAATCGTGAAAGTATTTCCAAAAGAACAGTGAACATATGGTTCACACCTGAGGTAGGAGTTTTCGTGGTGGAGAATGTCCTGGTACCTTTTAGCATAGCTCAAGAAAACTTCTTAATGGCTTACAGGGAGGTGCAACATTTACGATTCAACAGTCGTTCGTTATTTAGGAGATGTTAGAAATACGGGGGCTCAATAGCTGCTTATTGAATTGAACGAAGGGATCATCGTCACGAAGTCCGTTCTGAACATCCTTTACGTAATAGAACTGGCGCATTTCTCCAGTGCACTGTTACGTAAAATTAAAGTTGAATCATAAAGTGAAATCAAACAGATATAGTTTTCGGTGCATGAAATGGTCTTACGTCTTGACTGTTTACAAACCGGTCGCATCTGAGAAGTACTGTCACAAAGTCGATGAAATCCTGCAGTAAACATATTGCAGCGTAGTAAACCAGACATGGCCAACAGAGAACGTGCAGTCACCTTTCAGAACTAAGATCGACCACGCAACCTCAGATATAACGCTACAAAAGCTGGTTAAGTTGAACCACGGAAACGTGCTTCACCCACCGTGCTCAAGAGATCTCACGTTTACAATCTCTTTCTTCAGGAATCGTGACAGCTACTTTTTGGTGATATCACCAACAATTAAACCACTGAGAAGGTAAACTTTGGAGAATTAATCCTTCCTAAAAACTCAGAGTTTTACGTACCGAAATGCAAAAGGCTTGATGTGTATTCTTATAGCTCTTCTCTTACTTTGACTAATAGTGTTACGTTTATGTTTAGCCACAATGTATCATATTTGTTGTTTAAAACGACCATTATTTCTGATAAGTTGTTAAAGTATTCCCCTAGCAATGCCTAGCACAAAAACTACGGTGGGAATAGGAAAGATGTAGCAAACTCCATTCAGAAGGTGAAATTATTGGACACAGAAGGCACTGAAATCATGATGCGTTCTATCTTCTGCCTCACGAATTGCCACGAGTGTGTTAACATTGGCAAACTGCCTTCTCTACTATACAGGTATCTTTCTCGGAATTACTGTTTTTGTTCGTTCTGGCTCCTGCTAATTTACGTGCAAATATTATTATTTCATTTTGAAGAAGTTGTTATTAACATTGTGATTTTGACTACAGCCTCAGCTTAGCTAGGTCCAATGCCCATTTGTGGTCCGCCTGCTAACGGGTGATTGCTGATTGCAGCGTTAGGTAGATAACTAGCTGAAAGTTATTATTTTTATGACTTGGAGCTCATTAATAATAAATCAACTCATTTTTTAAACTCTGATATGAAGTTTTACTTCAAGGTCCATGTTTAGTGAATGAAATTTGTTTGTCTGAAATATCAATACTGCTGCCTCTTTGGTAAAGTATTCTGGCGCTCTATGTTCTTCCGATGAACGATAATCGGTAACTGAAGACCCTTTGCCACGTTCACCACTTAGTCTTGAGAAACCGTACATCTACATTACTATAGTCTAAATTTCAACTTCGGCATAAGTTGTATTTATGTGCTTGAATTAATTAGAACACAGATATTTAATGTCAACAGGATGTCTTAGGCTTACATGATCATTGCTTCTCTGTCTAATCCCAAAAATTAATGCTAACTTTTTATTTACTGCCTATTACAGTTTTTCACGGCACGGTACTATGTCAAATACAACCGTAATGATGCTTAGATATTTGCAAAACTCCGGACCGCAGGTGTCTGCGGTGGGAAACGAAGACACCTGCGGTATAACCCTTTCCGGAACTAGCGCGTTCACCACCCCACCATGCGGCTCTTTCGTTTCGCCTATCTCCCATCTAGTTTCCCCAGAAATTAATTTAATACTGTTTTCGTTGGGTAAATGAGTAAAGCCTTCCAGAGTATTATATGCTCGTACAGTATCTCATGCAGTTCGAATTTGTGCTCACTGATCTCATTTATCGTTTCGTGTTTCTTTTTTCAGTTTCTATTGCAATATTCAACAAAATTTCGATAACAAGCCACGTAGTCGAACATTTTATCTTCGCTATCGTACTTTTCAATAGTTTCTGGGTCAACTTCTTGTACGTTCGCGCGGCTATATTTACTTTGTGAATTCTTAAATAATTTCCTTCGTTCTTTCGTTAAGTACGGGCTCGACATGATAGTTCCGGTTCACATTACAACGACACCAATAAGTTTCGTAACTATCAGTTGTTATTTTCAGAGCTCGTCATGGTATACGGTTGTGGAAATTCGTGTGTGAAGTTCCTATTTTTCCTAGTGAACCTATGTATTTGCATCTTTGGTTCACTTATCTTTGGTGTCTCGTTATGGGCAAATTTGGACAAGAACTTTGGTTCACACCTGGCTGATTTTGTTCGTAAGGTCGACGGAGCTGACCATAGACATATCGATGAAATATCGAAGGTTAACTCTTTTACTTACTGCCTTTTTCTTCTTAATGGCAGGGTATGTTGTGAAATATAACTCGTATGATGTGCTGAGATATTTGCAAAACTCTGGACCACAGGTGTATGCAGTGGGGAACGAACACGCGCTGTTGTCCTTACCGGGGAGCAGCGCACTTCACCACTACACCATCCGGAAGTGCGCTGCTCCCCGGTAAGGACAACAGCGCGTGTTCGTTCCCCACTGCATACACTTGTGGTCCGGAGTTTTGCAAATATCTCAGCACTTCATACGAGTTATATCGAAGGTTAATATAATAAAATAATATTTTCCTTATTAGTAAACTGCTTTTTAAAGTTTAAGCTCATCATGTATTAATTACTGTACCACTTTTATAACACGTATTTTAACGTGACGATTATATTGACATCATTTTTACTCGAATACTCTTTAAGTTTAGTACATGTTTGGGATTCGTTGTTCACTCCACTACGCCTGAGTGTATTGATCAAGTCGGTAGATTGAACGGGTTTGATTTCCATACTATTGAGTGTTCTTGGAACAATGATCGGTCATTTTCTCTTCCAAATAGTTCCATAAATGTTTTACTTATTATTTTCTGCATTCTATAATTTTTATAGCAAGGTATTAAGCGAAATAGAACCACAAGATTGCTGAGATATTTGCAAAGCCACGGACCGCAGGTGTCTGCGATGGGGAACGAGCGCGCTATTGTCCTTACCGGGGAGTAACGCGTTCACCACCATGGTGTGGCGGTGAACGCGCTACTCCCCGGTAAGGACAATAGCGCGCTCGTTCCCCATCGCAGACACCTGCGGTCCGGGGCTTTGCAAATATCTCAGCAATCTTGTGCTTGAATTTCATTAATGTTCAAACTTTTATTTACTGTCTGCTGTTTTATGTAGGTGGCGAATAAAGGCTTAAACATTGTGATTTGATTTCGATGATTTCGACTGCAGCTTTCAGCTTAACTGGTTTCAATGGCGATTTGTCCTCCTTACCCTGCCCAGATCATTCCTGTTAGCCGGTGATTGTTGATCTCACCGTTGGGGTAACAAGGCTGGCTGAGAGAGAGCCAGAACGAGAGCCTTAGTGGTGCCGCGCGTAACACGTGAAGCCATGGAAAGTTAACTGGGTATTAGTGCCGATTTGTGCACCCTAGATCATTCCCGTTGACGGATGACTGTTGATAGTAAGAAAAAATTGCCTTAGAGAAAAGCAAGGAAGGATTTCGGTTGGTGTGATGAATGGCATGCAAGCTCCCGATAAGGGTAATAAAGGGGTTTGAAGCCTATCTGAAGTGTCGTTTTCTTGTTCAGCAATCGCGAGGTTTTTAAACAGCATACCGCCTGCATGACCGTCTGTGTGAAACAACAAATTGCGTAATTTGCCCTTACGGCAGGGACGGTGATTGCATGAGTTCAGGTACGATATACCTGATCTCTTGTAACAATTGCGGAGATGAATATATTGTCGAAACGGGCAGATCTTTGTGTATCCGTATAAAAAACACCTAGATGGCAAACGAAAACTAAGACGAAGCACCCCACTAGGTACGCATAGGATACAAAAGCATAGCGGAGACTATTTTGAAGTAAAAGTCAATATCCTTGCACAGGAGTCCAAAACACCATCGCGAAAACTCCTTGAGGCTTTTTGGATAATTGCCAAAAACCCTACAATGAATAGCAGGGATGAATGCCCGGAGGTCATACGCGACCTGATCCCGTATGTTCGCATCGATTTTTGATGTGGAATGGTGCAGTCGTCAACCACATGCGACTATAATCAGCTGTTCTAAACTTCCTCATTGGAAGTCACGAAAAAGCGGCTCCGAAGAAGGCGATACTGCCGAAACGTCAGCTAGCGTTGTATTGTATTGTGTTTTTTATGGAAGTAAATGTATGCTGTTTAAAAACCTCGCGATTGCTGAACAAGAAAACGGCGCATTCATATTCCAATGCCGAGGTTAATAGAAAGTCGATCCTGGGACCTATCTGAAGTTTCTATTTTTGCTCATATCTTAGCATCCTTGTGCTTGTGGGTCTTCAATAGTTCAATCGAAAGTAGAGTAGGAATTACGAAGGCGATAAATATCTTTTGATATACATCTTAGTGTTCACTGTTTTGAGGACGTTGATGGTTGATTGGACCACATTCTCGTCAGCTTGTAACTAAAGGTAACTGCAAGCATCCTAAAACTATGTACTAATACCGTACATATAAGTATTATGTGTGTCATGTGTATATATGAATTATCTGCATTAGAAAAATAGAAAGTTTTCTCACGTAATAATCATTTAGTATCAAGCATCCTTATGGGTTCTCGTAGCGGTTGGAGCGCTTTTGTTCTGTGTTGGATTCCTTGGATGTTGTGGTGCAGCATGTGAAAGTCCAATACTTCTTGGATTGGTAGGTCAAAATTCTCTAACGTAATACTTTCTTCTCATGTTTTTGATTTTCTGTGTTTTAGTTTTTTTTCATCGTCATGGTCCTCACTGCCATTGAAGTCGGTGCAACGATTTTTGCCATGTCGAATAGGGGGAAATTCATCGAAGCAATCCAGAAGGTCACTTAAATTTTCCCTAGTACTTTCTAAACTTCGTGCTATCAAGTGATCTTAAAAGCATCTGAGAGACACTGAAATTTAGGTTCTGCAATCTTCATCAGGCACGCCTGAGATGCGTCGTAACCTTAAGCCAATCCAAGACCTTTTCAAATGTTGTGGTGCTACATCTTTAACAAAGCACTTATACATAAGTGATGGTCTTTGTACTGCGGCTCAGGAAAATTTGGTAGATTGATCCTTTTTTCGTTAGCACATTGTGTACCGTGCGTTCTTTCTAATTTTCGCTTCACGTTTCTATTAAATTTTTTTTCAAAATTCTGTAAACAATGTGATGCTTGATTACTAATTATTAAATGACCTTTCACCTTTCCATGGAGCAGCCTAAAAGCAATCCATTCAACTGATATAGGTTATCGACCATGTATTACTCTGTGCGGCTGCTATCCAACAACTAACTTAAATACTTATAACAAATAAACGGCTCTGAAGAAGGCAAAACCACCGAAACGTCAGCTATTGTATCCTAATAAGTTCTATAATAACGACCTCGTGTCTGCTTATTGAAGAAAAACATCGGATTATCAATCAATGCCGAGGTTAAAAGAAAGTCGGTCATGGGAATTGATATGGCGTTGGTTTAGAAACTTTCCTTTTCGTAGGTTTCCGAGAAACCTGAAGCATTGTTCCAGAGGTTCTCACCAGAGACACTCATCTGTTCTTGCTTTAGATGGATATTTGCCATCTGCGACCAGATTTTTAACATTAGGGCAACAATTTCTCGTTTTGGTCCATCGTTTGCTTAATTTCCCGGTGAAAATATCGAAATACTTCCCAGTTTAGGTTACACTACAGGAGGTGAGGCTCCACATGCATACTGCTGTATTACATAGGAGAACAGTTCATCACCACGGTTAAAGGATCACCTGCACCACCTATCGCCCCGTCGGTTGTCCACTAACCCAAGCGGTCACAACCGAAATTTCGTAGGAGTTTGGGTCCTGATCCCGCTGAGGACTCATTGAGCATCAATTCTTTCTTTCAGGGTTTTCGTGAAAAACTCTGAAAATCATATTGATGGTGTTCCTGTAGTACGCTAGACATCCCGAGGAGTTTAGTCTCTAACGGCTTTTTTACATCGGTTGTCTTCATGCCCATTACATGCATTACACGTTCAGCCTACTTTATTTTCTAATTTAGCATAAAGAACGACATCTTTGACTGTTGATCATTCACGAAGCTCAGAGTTTCGGTTCACCTCTTTCACTTATATGATACGCGATACTCCTAACATCGCCCTTTCGGCTGCGCGTTCAAAAACGTCAAGTGATCTTTCATTGTGCTTGCGCAGCGACTAGAATTCTGACGCATGCGTTAAAACAGAAACAATCGTGGAGTTGAAAAGGTGGGCACGGATTCGGGTGTTCCTTGTTCTCTTCAACACATCCTCGATACTCTTGAAAACTCCATAAGCCGCCCGCTTCTGCTCAACTCTGGAGCTAAGTCGTTCATCGTGTTGACTTATCGACCTAAGTAGACGTATGTGGAGCATTCCGAGGTCTTTATTTCGTTGAGTGTGGAAGGTGTATGCGGAACCAATACGTTCTTCATGAACATCGTTTTTGTGGAATTCGGCCGAAGAACAATCCTTCCACAAGCTTTATCATGGTCGGCGTGCACTCGATCCCAATGGCTAATGTTTAATGTCGGACGAACAATTCCGTCAGCAAAACGAGGATGGTGTAATTGCCAGCCATTGATTCTCACTCCCATCATGTGATCCTTTCCAATTTTGGCATGACGTTCTCGAAAATGGCGATAAACAATTTCGGCGAAATCGTGTCGCTTTGTAGGACTTCTCTTTTTAGGCCGCTGTAAATATCGTTATGGAGTGTTGATATTCTTGTTATGTATATCATTTATGGCTTAGGAAGGATCTCTATATACTACGTATCGACGCCTTGGCTTTCCAGAGGTTTTGTCACTGCTTCTATCAGAGCTTTGTCGAAAGCTTTCCTAAAGTCGATGAAAGTGAGGTATAGTGGTCTCTTACGCTCTTGTGATACTTCGGCCACTGTGCAGATGTGGTCAACCGTACTGAATCCTTTTCGAAACGCTGCTAGCTGACATGGTTGTCCTTCCTTCATTGTTTGCCCGATCGTGTTGAATGTGATTCGAATGAAGAGAGTTTATTGACTACGAACAGTAGGCATATTGGAAAATATTTATCGACTTAGAGGCCTCTCTTTTTGGACAACAGCACGATCTTGCTGGTCTTTCACTGGATAGAGACATCGAGTTCTGGAAAGTAACATGTGAAGAACTGAGACAATGCTTTGATGAGAGCTGGCCGAATATTCTTCAGATGTCCACGTCGTCTCTGAAACTGCTAAAACGGTAAATGGTTAAGAGGAAGAAACATGGGAAATGAACTCCATAAAGTCCAAGCCCTGTATAGACTATGTTCTCCTAAACTTGTGAAATAACAGAGAATTTGAGCTCCGTTGCCGTTCTACATCTAGACAACGTGTCTAGTAAATGGATGGTAAGATTTCGTGTATTTTTCACCAATGCATGTGAATGGCTGAAATGGATTTTTTTAACCGATGAAACAACAATTTTAAAACGACCAAAAGTTTATAGCTATAAATTTTGTTACTGCAGTGGTTATCGCTTTTAAGTGAAGATCGCACTCCTGCAATACTTGGATACTTAGATAACTGGACGACCCGTCTTCACTGATTGTGCCAGTCCCCAGCATAATTTCCTTTTTTCGGAGTGTTTCTGGTCTAGCCTTTTGTAGTTTCCTGGAGTTCCGAAGTCAGCCTGCTCTAAGTCAGCCCCAGGTTGTTACTACTACTGGCAGTCGCGGACCTTTGACGGTGGTGGATCCTGGTATTGGTTTACTCTTACCTAGGCTTCTTGATAGAAGCGCTGGACTCTTTCTCAGCTTGGGAGTCCCTGCCGGCGGGACCAATCTCCCCAATATACATCGCAGTCCGACACCCAGGAACACTTCTTGGCCACAATGAGGCGGTAAACCGTTGGGAACACACTTCTGTAATAGTTTAATCTATACGGCTGATTGTTGTCGAGTGAAATAAGAAGTGTAGAAGAGTAAATACGGCGGTGTCTTTGTGAGTTAACACGTATTTCTTATTCTGTCAATTAGGTCTTGTTCACATGTAGTATTTCGTAAGTTTCGTGGGTGATTTTGAACTAGACCACCGGCTCAGTTTTTCTCAATTGGTGCTGACAATTTGGAACGGTGTAGAAGTGATAGTTAAAGTTTTTCAGAACGAAATCGAAAATTATGAAGGACTTGTTGTTAAGCACTTTTTTAGAAGTACTCCTGACAATTGCGACGGCATTAGTCCTTTTTAATCTCAGAATATCATATTTGTAATCACTTAAATTATAAATCTTTTTTTAACTTTATTTATTTGGTTGGTGTCTCGAAATGCGTTGAGTGATGTAGTGCGCCGTAATTTTTTTTGCGCATTACAGAAGTATTTATTTTTAGATAGAGTGGAGGAGTCAACTAAACTGGATTGTCTAGTTTTGTTGAGGTCCCCCATTGTTTCGCAGTCCATTTATCCAATGCTTTTTTGGCTCAACTCGTGCAGACGACACTGGTTTTGCGTCTTATTTAGAGCTTAAACCTTATGAAGCTCATTCTGAAACTCCAAAAAATCTTCTACTAAATTCTTTTGTTTGCAGCCTGACTGCTTCGAACGTATCACGCACATGGTGGAATCGTCAGGTGAAGTGATCATAGTAATCGGATTCGTTCTGCTTGCCATCGAGATATGTTCACTCATTTTTTCCTGTATCCTCTGTCGTGCGTCGCGTGAAATTCGTTACGCAGGATACTATTCCTAAGTATCCGAGTATGAAGATGATGAAGCGGAAGCTTTTCTTTTATCATCACTGCTTTGAGTCCTCACCTTTCGTTATACACCGCAGTACCGTATATTCCCAATTCTAATTCTTTTGGTGTTGCTATGATTTATTTTTTATCTCCTTGTGTCCGGTATGCCTACACGTCTTCTATCTTTGCTCTTGAGCGCCATGCTATGGCATCTAAATATAGCGAAGCAAAATTTTGAAGCTGAATATCCTAGATTTCTCAGGAACGCGTGTGTATTTTCAAGTTTTTGTAACAATGAGTGAAATTGAAATCTCTTTACGGCAATCTTTATCGGTTACATTTCGTCATTTCCTGTCTGCGTACAACATTCCAGTCTTTGTGAACTCAATAAAGGTTATTTCTTGTTGAAGCATTCGGAAACTTTGCACATCCATATTTCTTTTTCTCGTTTTAATGGATGATTGTGCAGTGATGTGAATGAAATCAAAAGGTGAGTTAAAGCGTAGTTGGGTATCAGGTCAAATTTGCACTTCGATAAAGGTGGTTAGAGCCGCCGTTTTAGAAATTTCTGGTCTTCCTAGTGTTTTCTCTTAGTCTTTTACAAATTTAAAGAGTAAGGATGGTTTGACACTTTTTCAAGAATGTTTTTTTTACTCGACTGGAGAGTTTTGAAATGCGAAGCCTTGACAAAACAGAACTGTAGAAAATAGGCGGAAGAGACTTCCTATTGCTCCAAGGATTTATACAGCTTCTGGAGAGTGTTTCTTAATTTAATAGTTTTTATAAATTATTTTTAATAATGGAGAGTTCCAAAACGAAATGTAACATCGATGAGTTCGAGTAAACAATTAGCGTTGTAGATGGCGCCAACGAAATGCTTTGAATTGCAGTGTAACATCGTCCACCTGCTTTTACAAGCACTTTTATATCTGAATTCATCCCATGCTCTAATCATGCCATCATCATTCAATATCATGTTATTTTATGGATGATGTGACGTCCAAACAATGCACTATATACTAATTTGAAAGCTTGAACGAGATATCTTCACCAAGAATCCGGCGATCCAGCAAAATTTCTATCTGGGTGGTATTTCTTTTGTTCAGCTTGATTTTTCTATTGAATCTCGAAATATCTGCACCAGGGCTTTTTTCTGATCATCATCATAACTGGTGGCTGTGAATCAGAGAAGGTGTGCTGACTGGTGATCAATGTTATATTAGAATGGCATGGGCTGGGTCCATTAACTTATCCAGGACGGCCGATTATGCCCAAAAGGATGGAAATCGTCGATAAGAACATCTTGTAAAGTGGGCCTTCTAGCCGATGTATTGGAAGATGGTCTAAGCAAAATGGTTTTCAGAAGGGTCGAAATCAGGGTCTACAAGGAGCTGAATAAGATATAAAAGTTCAGCTGTAACACATTAGGATCAGAGTCTCAGTGTAAAACGTTAACCATTGCCCTCTCAATGGAAAACATTACTTTTTCTGATGATTGCTTCACGTTGATCGGTGGAGCTTGCGCAATGTACAACCACTGATATTTGCGGAAGCAGTCAGAATAGGACATTCATTGATGGCCGCCAATGATGGAAAGTTGGAATCACTTCTTGTTCCTAAGAGAAAGGCATTGCATATTGATATTTGGACAACTGTTGCTGTTTGTTTTTCATAAAAGCTGAGGTGCCGATCGTTTCCGTTCCTTGAGTTTGTTGACCCACGCGAAGTCTGCGTTTGACCTAGATATGAGGCTCTTCACATCCGAACCGCAAGTGGAGGATGTTCAGACGATGATCGGCGATAAAGTATTTTTTGAGGACGTCGTAATCCATTGGAGAGGTTTTTCTTTTTCAAAGGCATTTCTCATGTCCTTGAACGAAGCAACCATTTGGCCATCGTTGTTTTATGAGGGACATTCAGCCGATGCAGCACAATTGAGACGGCGTGTAACGTTAGCTGTCCAGTTAAGAGCGGAGGAAAATCAAATGTTGAAAGTGTTTACGATCATTGCTCGTTTATAGCTTTAAAAGAGATCATTGAATACTATACACTTCGTTGGATTATGCTAATTACTTAAACAATTTGAGATTTTTAACACGTAACTTACATTATTTTGGGTTTGAAGCAACACCTTATAGTCAAGTCGAGAGAGGCAACTTTGTTTTGCTACTACTGAACCGAGAAAAGAGGAAGCATCGCAAGAAAAATGGAGAACATTGTAACCTTAGCACTTAAGAGACTTGATGAGGATCATACTTTGCTCCTGAGGCAACCATGGAAAAATCTGACGGCCAGATCGATGATCTTCTTGCTATCCACACCATATCTCCTGCATCCATTCGTCACTGGTCATATTCTGTCCAACATTTCTCCACATTATGGCATACACAACGGCATCTCCGATGCTTCGCTCATGCTCGATCATCTATTTAGCGGAATGGTTCTTATTTTTCTTCCCTCTTATTTGGTTGATTTGGAATATCGGCTTCATCTGTTTATAATGCTGACCTACAACTCGTCTCGCTTTCGCTTACTTTCAACTTAGGAATGGAAAAAATAAGCTCTGAGCTGGTTGTTCTTTCTACTTTCGGTGTTTTCGTAAGTCAACGAATCTACCTATTTCCTTCGACTCAGCCGTGGAAGTAATTCTGCCATCATTTGACCTGTCTTCACGGATACTCGCTATTAAAGTATTGAATTTGGTAATATTTATTAACGTGAATGGGCATCAGAAGCAAATCCTCTCCTCATGAACACTTTAACTTGAGATTCAAGGAAGGGTCAGTCTTTTCTTAAACGCTTCCCAAACATGTTTAGTTCCACCTGGTTAGTTTGTGTGGTTGTATTAGCGTTATCTTTGGTTAAACAAAGATAGTACACCTTCTACCCGTCGGCCTTAACTCCATGTTGTGGCAGTTTTTGTATGATTTTCTTGAGAGGTGCTGCAAATAATTTCAATGAAGTTATATCACTTTGACGAAGCTCTACTTTTATGTCAATAGTAATTGTACAGTGCATAAATCTCAGTTGTGGAGTTGGTATACAGATCAGGCATGAAAAAGTGATAGTCTGCTCAGAGCTTCTACGACTGCTTCTGTCTCAAAATTAATACGAGTAGGTACTTTTAAGTTATTAAAGGTGCAGAAACGGTTAAGGTCTGTTATTAGCTCTTAACACTTCAATGAACTTTTTTGTCATGCAGATTCGATCCATCCTACCGATTTTTTTTTCGAAATTCTGCATGGCTTTCTATTACCGAGTATTCTTTCAACTCCGTTTGGGATAACTGGAATGAAGAACTTGAATACTGCAGAAATAATCTACGCTACTTTTCGAAACCAACCACTGTTTAATCTCAACATGAAAATTAAATTTTTTTCAAAATTTTCAGTTTACGCGAAATTATGAAAGTTTAATTTAAATGATGCTGAGACGCGTTCATCACCACACCATGCGCATCCTTCGTTTCGCCTGTCTATCAACTGATTAGGAAAGTTATGGAAGTTTATTCGGCAAACGTTTCGGCGTGTGCTGTTTTTTCACAGCCAAATAGATCCTAGTCGATTGTCCACCGTCGGTCGTGCCCGCGATGTGGGCCTTCATAGTGGCATCCTCACTCTGCAGTGCACCTGCTCCTAATTCGCATTCGAGTCGTGCTCCACTCCGGAAGATTCAACTCGATATGACTACAGAGATCTATATCGCGAGGTCGTCAGACTGTGGTTAGTGGACTCGGAGATATCCGGCTCTGAAAAACAATACATCGGAAACGTTAGCCGAATAAACTTTCACGACGTCCTTGTGCAAGCCGAACAATCTATAAAGAATGTATACGACTGTTACCGATATAGTCTGGTATTACCTTTTTCAACAGTGCGGTTTTCGTTATATTCTTTAACAAGGCACTTTCATTCTGACGGCTGCTGTAACTTGAAAAGCGAAGGAATTATGTTGTTGAGGAATGAAGGTGCATTTTTCAGATGTTCGTGGATAATACTCTCAAGGCTAGGTGCTCTGTTTTTCGTTGTTCACAAAGCATGTCACAGGGGAAGTGCTGAGAAAAATACCCAAATTTCCACATTTGTTATGGAAAGAGACGGATGTATTTATTAATGTGTCGTTTTCTTGTTCAGCAATCGCGAGGTTTTTAAACAGCATACATTTACTTCCATAAAAACACAATACAATACAACGCTAGCTGACTTTTCGGCAGTATCGCCTTCGTATTTATTAATGTTAGTGAGGTAGATATGAGTGATTTTGTTTCGAAACCGACCTTCCCTAAACCTCGGTGTGACTAATCAATATGTATTCTTTCTTGGTAAGCTTGCACGAGGTTGATAAATATATTTATTTTCGGCTAACGTTTCGACGTCTTCGTCTTCCTCAGAGCCGGTGATCCGAGTCGATGGTCCATGCTTGTTGTTCGTCTCGACGTTGCGCCTTCGTCTTCGTGTCGAGCCTGATCTTCCTCAGTGAGCCATCTTCTCGAATGAGGCATCCTCACTCAGTGTTGCCCTTTTATACACGATGCTCATGGTAGATATATAATGACAATGTCCGGTGGTAACAACTTGTATTTCTTCCAGACATACATCATTGCGCACATCGTGCAGAGGTCGGTGTATTATCAGCTAGCACAAAGCGTAGTAATATTTCGAAATCGACCTTCCCTCACTGAGTGAGGAGTGAGGATGCCTCATTCGAGAAGATGGCTCACTGAGGAAGATCTGGCTCGACACGAAGGCGAAGGCGCAACGTCGAGACGAACAACAAGCATGGACCATCGACTCGGATCACCGGCTCTGAGGAAGACGAAGACGTCGAAACGTTAGCCGAAAATAAATATATTTATCAACCTCGTGCAAGCTTATCAAGAAAGAATACATATTGAGTGATTTTGCCCATTTCTCTTTTACAAACGGTGACCGTTCCGACTAGGCGTCATACGATTGTCTTGCTTGTAATTGGTTGAGAGTAGGGAAGCATCACGGCTGCCTTTCTTAAATTCTACGACTTTGGTCGCAAGAGGTGTCTTCTCTGCTTGTCCTGCTTGTACACCTTTTGTGTAGAGATTTTTAGACATCTGGAAATAAAATAATAGTTACACACACTTTGTTAAAATCCACATTGACATATCGCCTCCATTGTTTCTGGGAGATACATGTTATTTGAGCTCTTTGAAATTTTCGGTTAGTACTATCGTGTAGGCTCTATGCGACTATGAGCACCCACATTTCGACAACGACCGGCTGTGTACCATCGACTCGGTTCAACGAGATTATGAGGAAGGCGAAGGCACCCGAACGTTAGCCGAACAAAATTTTTACATCGACTTCGTGTCGTCTCAGTCATATAAAAAGTGATTCAGTTTACCGCACACTCTTTAATATTTGTAAATGGCCTTGAGTTCGTGAGCTTTGTAATGGTTTCGTTTAGAAACGAAGACATTTCAGATGGTGACGACCACTTTGGCGCTCTGCATAACAGTTTATGCCAAACGAAAGTTACTATATAGAAAGACAATGGCATTAGAGCAAGACTGGAGCTGAAGTAGTGTCAAAACAAAATTACTAAATGTTCCCTGGTAATCTTGGCGGCGAGATTTGCTGGACTGATATCCATAGGCCCATATAGAAGCCCTCCTTAATACTGCTCAGTTTTTTTTCGGTTTTCGTTTTTTCCATACTGTTATTGTGGTCCTTATGATTATATTTCGAGGAAACCTCTATATAGTGATAAAACACTGGTACAGTGTGTATAACTACTGCTCACTGATAACTTTGATTAAAAACACTAGCACTGAAAAGATGAACCTGACCTACTATGAGGGAATTGAATACTTTTTTTGCCGCTTAGGGAAGATTATGAATATAGCATTTAATGTTTCTCATTCTCCAGTTAGTCGTCCTTAGGCAGTCATTCTGTGATGTCATCCCAGATCTCTCTAATAATTTTGAAATATTAATATCCATGCTGTGATTCCCGGCAATGATTTGTCACTTATAGTAGCTTGCAAGCACTTTTATATCATTGCGATGTATAAAAGGCGTTCATTTCCTGGTAGGTTAGCCAATTAAAAAAGAATTCCAAAATTTATTTTCGAAAGAAAGGTTCTTTGTAAGGTATTGGTAGCAATGCTGTGGAATTGATCCAGTTTCGAGGTGGGAAGTTTTTTTTCGCTCCACAGAAACCCGTAAGTAGTTGTGGTGACAAACTATGAAATCTTTAACACGAGTTTTATGAGAGCTCTGGCAAAAAATCATGCTAAACCTATATATCTGTTAAATGGAAAATATCTTAGGCAGCACGATTCTTCGTGTTGATGAGCCATTTAAATATCAAGAATTCAGTAAACATTATATATGTGTGTGTATGTATGCGTGCATGCTTGTATGTGTGCATCTATGTGTGTACGTACGATCTATGTAATTTTACTCAGCACACACGTTAGCCCAATCTTTGGTGAGTGTCTCGAAATCAGTGCTAAACCGGGACCAGAGTTGTCACAGTATTCTGCAGAGTTCGTCGACGAGCCAATATATTTTAATAATTATATTTAGCTTTCAATGGGAGTACGAAAACAATAGTAGGTGGAGGATACAGAAACAAAATTTCATCGATACGATGGAAGAAAATGTAATGCATTATGATATTTTGGATAGTACAGCAATGCGAATTTGGAACCCATCTTTTTAGAAGATAAGAAAAAATTTCCAGCAGTGAGAATAAAAACAAACAATGACGATTCTTAAAGAAAAAAGTGATGATACCATTTCGAAAAGCTCTCATTTGTCGCTATGAAAACGAAACCGCGGCGCGAGAGCACTGGAAAATAACATTCGTTATCAAACGAATTTTCCATTCATGACAGTCATAACAGTTTGAAGCAAGTCACGAAGCAGTTTCAGTAACCGTAATGAGTAGAGTTATAGCAAGCATTTGTTTTTTTTTCGGAGTCCACATTAGAAGAGCAATTTACATTTGTCGTCAGTGAAGGGTGGGTACTGCGACACAAGAATTGTCATACAAATGGCCAATTATCATTACCTAAATAACAAAGTTTATGCTGAGTCCGGAAAAACGGTAGATGCCGATTCCAGTCGTTCGTGAATCAAATTTAATTGAGTTCTAATAGCTAATAAGAGAGTTATTTATGAAAGCATGGGTCAGTTTACACTTCAATCACAACTGAGTCGCTCAGATAGTAATGAATAATAGAGCCGCATTGTAATGTTTAAATGTGAGAATTAAAGAAACATTTTTAGAGATCATGGTTTTTCAACGCCTCAGAGCTGTTCATCGGTGTCTGGATTCAAGGTGATGCTGTCTTCCAGGTGATGCTCACGCATTGTCAGAAGTGTTTGCGCACCGCCATTGTTGTTGCATTTCAACATTGCGTCTCGTTCTTTGTTTTTCTTACGAGATCGTTGCTGATCCCATTTGCAAACCACACCAAGTAGTTTCCTATAAAAGCAGATTTCAGTAAAAGGAATTTACAAGCTTTTTATCTGTCAAAAAAGTGGTATAGGTATAAAAATTGTGTTCTTCTTTGCTATTCTTGTATTCTCTTCTGAACATTTTTGCTTTTAGCTACAGCACTGACATTCCGTGACCACAGAGATAACTAATCAACAGATATAACATCCGCCTCGCTTTTTGTTAACTCAAACTCTTACTTAGTAATAAACATTTTTTTGATGAATGTCGCCTTTGGAAAAAATTTGAACCCTCCACTAAAGTCTACAGTTTTTTGCAATAATGACAAAGATGAAAACTAAGAAACTTTGGAGTTGATTGTTTTGCCATCTCAATTTAATACTATCACACGTCAGTCTCTGCAAATGTCTTCCCACGTTAAGTGAGATTTATTAGTCTTACTATTATTCCGAAGCGGGCGGATAGCATAGTGGTAATGATATCGGTCACCGCGAGCATGGTGCTAGTTCGAGTAGGTTCCGGGCCAACAAAGACTCTCATCACTCCGGAGTCGGCAATTTGGTACCGGACTTGTCCGGAAAAGATTCGCTCTCTGCAATCCAATTGGTAGCGCTCCAGTCCGGCTATTTCAGTACTCCAGGAAGAATTGCTCGATTAGCATTCTACGAAATTCAAGGCGAAATGAAAATCTTTAAGCAGTAACCGAAAGCCACACGTAATATTTGGAAGATTTTTATGAATAGCGGGTGCGAGGAAATGAATCGAATGTGGCAAGTACAGGAATCAGCACAGTAGACGTGAGGAAGAGTCATGTAAAATGAAATAAGAAAATAAAATTATTATTATTCTGCTCTAACATCTAAAGGAGAACATTAGCCTCACCTTAAGACTCTACACTCTTTCCTAGAGATGGTTTTTATTAATAACGAATTTTCCGAGCTCTGCGTCTTTTCTTTTACGTGGTCATAGACCACTTCTCTACTTGAATACAAGCAACGTTAAAGGATCACCTAAATCTATGAGACAAGTAAATTGTAAGAAACGGAAATTCGAAATCGACCAACTCACCGAAGTCTCAGTTTTTCGAACAAAGCGATAAATTCTATTCGAAAATTATGGTTGAAGAAGGCGTATATGAGTGGATTCAGACATGCAGAGCACATCGCTGCAACATGACAAATTGCGAATGTCGACACGGAGAACAACGAGACCCACTCGAACGTGTTCACCTGAAATTTACTTTACCCGTGCAGTATGAAAATGAAGGCTTTCTAAACTGGAGTTGAGTTTCTTTATATTCTACATTTCAGATCAAGTTTGCACAGCCACAAACTCTGATGTTTCAGTGTGATTGAAACAAAAGCTTAGTTCACGTACAAGTTGCGGCCATCTTCCCTTTAGTGATGAAAACCACTTGATCTACTACATCATCCTTTCGGTTTTCTTTTTAAAGTCTTCATGAATGACACGTTAAAGTTTCTTACTAGCTCTAAACATCATATCGATCATGTATGCTCAAAGAAGCTCGGATTTAGAAATTCACTATGAGAGTAGCCATGTTGTACATACAATGTGGAAAACGTTCAGTGGTAACCATGCGATAGCGAAAACCGCCACTACGCACATTAGAAGAAAGTGAGTACGACGTTGCCGCTCCACCACTGACCTGAAACGTAAACTTAATTACAGACAATAGCCTTAGATAACCACGTATCTGCAAAAATTAAGTATTTAGGAAGGTATCTGAAATGTTAAAGATATGTCCTAAAGTAGATGGTATGTCGCAAATGTTGCGTATACTATCTAACTAGTACAGCTGGAAAGCACGAACCTCCTTCGTTGATTTTGTTCGAGCGAATTTGGAAGTGGTAAATTGCGATTGGCAAATCGCAATTTCATGCGATGTGCGATTCTACTGTATGCAAAGACCAAGGAGAACAATGGAAAGGCGTACTGCGTCACTAGTACTGACAACGTGTATGTCTGCTTGGAGATCATCATCTGAAGACAGCAGTTTTCAAGTAGAATTAAAACTTGCACTTTGCCTATGTGAATGTCGTCTTCAGGAGACGCTAGAGGTCTCCATTTTTTTTAGATATCTTTCGCTGCTTCATTTACACACATTCACTTCAACTCAAGAAGGAAAGAAACGCAAACAAAGCCATCTTCTATTGTCTATTTACCCGAGTTGCTTTTACGTTAAGTGCTTCTGCAACATTGCTTTGAATCTTCAGTGTAAAAATCTGATTAAGTCTGATGATGCGAACTGCCGTTGACGATTCAAAAGACCTTCTCATGAAGCTCCAAACTAACGATTTTATTTGTACAATGATGTAATAGGGAGGAGGAAAGCCACTTTTTCGTAAGTAATAGATTAGTGCCTTCAATAAGTCTAAAAATTTCGACACTTAGGAGCGAACTTTGGTTCTTTCCAAAAAAAAAATCATAAGAATTGCACAAATCCTCACCGTTTGCCAAATATCGTTTTGCTCGTGACATATTCGGAGAGAGATTCCACACGACGGGTCCTCGTATATGGTATTAAGATCGGAAGCGATAAGAAGTGGTACAGCGAGTATCAACGATAAAACCCATATGAATACGAAGAACATTAGTGACAAGTTATGTTGCCGTTCACGTTTCGTGGGAAAGATTACCAGTACATATCTGCAAGTGACAAAATTTTGATAAAGAATCCCATTTACTCAGTGTTATGTCGAATTACTTACCTATCAAGCGCTATGGCTGCAATAGAGAAAGTAGATAGAAATATATTGAACCCTTGGAGTGAGCCAGCGATTTTACACAAAGCTGTACCGAACGGCCAGAACATATACAATACTGTGTACAGTGTCATTGGAGCTGTTACAGTACAAACCTTAATCGATGTACTTGAATTGCACTAAAAATGTGTCATGCTTCCATTCCAGCGTACATTTACTTGATCTAAAATGAAGGGACTTTGAAACAAGCCTTAAGCCATTTTAAATTCAAAATTAATTTGATGAGTGCTCATTTCATAGAAAGAAATTCTTCTTTAACTACTTATGATTTTTGGTGCGTGTGGCGCAGTGGTTGGAGGCACCCTGCAACACACACCTGGAACCGATCTTACGCCCCACCAAGCCTTCCATCGTTCCGGGGTCGGGAAATTTGTACTAGACTTGCCCGGGAGGATAGCAGCACTGGCTCGATGCATCGGTGGGCCACCACGAGTCATTGTAAAGGCCAGATATGCATTCAATCCCATCCAAACGATGCCTAATGAAGTCGAACACATGGCGCATCCCTCAGGGATTGATCAACGCTGAGAGCTTTATCTTTTTTGTTTATCCTTCAACTTCTTATGACTTTTAGCACTAAAATGTTGCACAGACGCTTCTAGATTTCGAATGTTTATTATGGTTATTATTTCAGAGGACAACGTAAAATTCCTTTAACAGAAAATTGATTGTTGTCATGAAATATGGGAGGCAGAACTCACAAAAAAATCGGAGAGAGCTAGATTAAAGATGAAAAAGTTGCGAGTAGTTCGCATGCTTGGATTTAGGACGACGACGACCATTGTGAGGAAATTACCACAAGCTCCGAAGATTATCACAACAAGGTAGGAGGTAGTAATTGCGTAGCCAAACTAAATATAATACATTATTTAATAATTGCGAGCTTCACTCTTTTCTTCACCGTTGTAATGTTCGCATCGTTGTCGTTAGTAACTAGTGTAATCGAAATGCGCTTGGGCAACGTTTAAATAATTAACTCTCGGCAAGATTTCAATTACGGATTTTCTCATATTTTAACGTTCGCCGGAAACACTTCTGGATCGGTCATCCTATCAGTGAAATTGTTCATGAGCCATACCGCGGCAATTGCATGATAGGCAACCTGTTAATTCGTTTTCTGATATCCTGTACACTTTTGGCACAAGTCCATTTTGTGCATGTTGACATATTGTGTGTATGCATACACATATATATACATATATATATATATATATATATATATGTATGGTGCAAGAATGTGTGGCGGTGAGAGTGAGCATACTCTCCAGTTGAGTAGTTGCGCTTAATGAGCCGTAGTCAACTAATTAGACTAATTACGTACGATAGGGCCCCAAACTTACTAGTGCTGGCATTATTGTGATGAATGGATTAGTGAAGTGAAAATAAGCGACATACTTCTTTTGAGGCATGTTCGGTACCATTCAACACAATATCATCACGAAAGTAGTGATTGATTCGACTGAACAAACTCTGCCAATGTTCACACGTCTCATTAGACATTGTCTGAAGAACACTTGCGATTCATCACTGTATTGACAAAAAGTGACAAAAAAACCAGGTAGTGTAAGCAAAAACGAGAACATAAACACGACGGTGATGTGTCGTGTTCTTTTCGATTTTCAACGATTTAGACATTAGTTGTATGCATGTTGTATGAGAGAATCCACCTTCATCTTTTTTTTCATATAATGTGGCAAAATGATTTCCTGGATGGAAATTGCGTATATTTTCAAGAATAATTAGCGGAGAGTGATTGCGACGATATGATGTAAACATAGAATCGCCTGAATGACAGATAGAGAACACAAAACAGAGAAAAATCTCCTCCTCCTGATAACGTCGACAGCTTCGTAGAAAATGAAGCACATGGCAATAAAGAAAGAAAAACCTTTAAACAGGGTATGGTAATTGTAACATCAATGAAATCTGCCTTGTCGCCGGGCGCATAAGTAACAGAAGTGAGGCCGAATTCCTAACTGACGTTAACATTGTTGATGACATCACTGAATTTAATATAATGACGAATTCACTGAGGGAGGCTTCCTACTCGTCACCTGTCGCTGTACGACCGAGTACCTGAAAACTGTTTTAAATAGCCTGTAAAATTTCCATTCTTATTACCAAATGAAAATTAAATTGCAAAATTCTGAACGTGGCGTGTCAACGTAAAATATGCGGAAGGGCACAAATAGCTTTCCGCTTTTGTAAGGATTTTGTTATGTCAATTTTAAAAGCAATAAATGTCGTATTTATTAGCGGTTATTGATGAATACGTTGTTATATCTTGTAGTTAAAACGTGGCTTTAGAAATGTTGAAGAAGCATGTATAGCCTAGTGGAACCGTCATAATTTGTTCCAACTACATTCGTTCGGTAGATGCTGGATGTGATTGATGAATAGTCAGCATTCTTCCCAAGTGCATTGACGTGAGAGAAAATTAGGCAGGAGAAAACGAATGAATCAAGTGGAAGCCGTTACATTCAATTCTCCGCGGGAAGTACCTGTTTGATTCATGACGATCTTCTGCGAGCGTCATAGCTCATCCAACGGATCTTTGTAGGCTGATTATCATTGGATTATTCATAATCTAACGCTCAAATACAACCCTTTTTGCAAAGAAGAAATTCGTTTTTGAATGAGAATGGTCAAGTTGTTCGTCGTTAGAGACCTTTGTCAAAGTTACATCCGGGTATGCAAAAGTGTAAGTGCATCATGACGGAAATTCTAGAGCCCACTGTCTCGTGCTTCTTCGGTGGCTATGTTTTAGCTCACGCCAAACGACATTTACGAATACAATGCAATAATCGGAGACAGCTGCTGTGGATCTATCAAAACGCTCAGGTCACCACTGGGACTTAAATCAAGTTAGTGTCAGATTGAATTTCACAAAAAATTGATGACATTTGTAACGCCCTTAACTCGCTTTTCGCTAATTTTGCTATTTTCGGCCTAACGTTTTAGCTCTGAGCGGTTGCACTGCTGTGGAAATGGCATGCATTATTCTAACAAAAGTCATTGAATGTGGTATGGACGTTTGATTCAGCTTACATCTATACACGTGGCCACGTAAAATGTTACCTAAGAAAGTGATGAATAAACAACAGATTTAACGATGCCCTTAACCTCCAGTGTTTTTTAGCAGCGAGTAATTATTTTGCTTGGAAACAAACACGGAAAATTCCACCGCTTAACACATTTTCACGGTTCATAAAGGTAAAAATGGAATACGCGCTGAGAGTAGAAGTGATGAAGTGCTCGCAAGATTACTACTGCTAGTTTTCACATGCAAACTATCTTTATAGCTTACCATCTACATCGCTCTATAGCTACCGTTGTAAAGAATTTCGAAAAGAAAACACGGAAATGTGGTGAATGGATTTACCATTTTAATTTGATCACTTCTGTATCACACTGCTTGTGGTATCTCGAGCACGACTTTCGAGTTTGCAGGAAAAACTACGGAGTATTCATTCACTCGCTAGTATTGGTATATGTTTTTTTATTACTACAGAGTTCTCGTTTTTAATTACAGAACAAAAACTATCCAATTTTTTCTCTAGTGGCTTTCAAATAACACTTTTAACTAAGAACAATGATGCTTGGGTGTCGTGCTTTAATGCGGACAGTAGCTTACTGGGTGTGCCAGTCATATTCTTTCAGATTTTGTTTGCTTTTTGTGACGTGATAGATAGGAAATACATTTGAAACGTCCAGGTGTCGAGTGATGAATATTCCAATCACTTGATTTATTGAAAGCGGGAATCGTTCTCTGAGATTGTTAAAGCCCAGCCTATGTTGACAAACAGGTCGTCGAAAGGATTTGAGTCATTTGATTCTGTAGCGTTTGAGGGTTGCTATGTTATCACAAAAAAATTAATGCCCAACGAATTTGTGGTTTTAGCCACTGAGGTGATGAAGAAAAAATTAAAACGACGGATGAAGGTAGGGGTTACGTTGAATGTCGAAAGCAAACACTGAGATGGAGCGCAGTTTTAAAAGATGCGCAGAATTTTTTTACAGGAAAACTAATAATCTTTGACATCGATACGAGTGGAACGGACTAATTGAGAGACCAGAAATGGGGCTGAAAACTTCTCTTTGAATGCCTTTCAACAAAATATTCTAAACAGACACCCGTATTCAAGTGTTTGTTGGAATTTTCAAGCTATGTAGGTTTTTTGTGTGGCTAAAAAGTCAGGATGAGCAATCTTTTGTGTTTGGGTTAAAAAAGACGAAAACGTAATGAGATGAGATGTTGCGAAAACTAAAAGGAAAAATAGAAAGCAAATTTCTAGGACGACGATGATGGCCACCAAACTATATTTGGAAGAACCGTCAGGAGAAACGTATTAGACGAGAGCAATTAATGGAATGATGAAGAGTTTTTAAAAAGCATGACGATTAATGGTTATTGCAAAGCATATTTTAGCCATTTCATTGTACAGCTGCACATGAACGATTTTAAATAAAGAGCTCTGTCGATATATTCGCCGTTTATTACCCCCATTTAGTGCAGCACTTGAACTACAATTACCCACTACTATAAAGCCGAAAATACAATGTAAAGGCGAAAATAGAATACAAATCACGAAAAGAATAGAAAAATAAAACTACTAATTGCCTTATATATTGTTTCGTCATCGTCCTCTCAGTCTAACGGACTCCAGTAATGTCTTCACTTCCTACTTTTGAGCCAGTGGTTGCTCGAAGAGGCATAAAGAGGATCCCACTTGTCAAAAGAGGCCATATATTTCTGGATTTTAGAGACAGGGAACCCAAGGGGAGTTCGTTCAACTTCGCTATGGTGATCTGGGTATACTCACAGGTCATTTGTCATACTCTCCTATACTAAGCATTGCAGCTTAGCAGTTCCTTTAAAGGCTCGACGTGCGGGACACAAATCCCGAACAGACAAGCCGATACATCCACACGCATATGTATTAGAACTCTTTAGTGTAAATGGAAATATAAGTCAATCTGTGATAGCGAAGACAGAGAACCCGTAATCCATTGGGGTATCAACGCATTTGAATACATGGTTCATTCTTGACGGCTGCTTAAGGATAACGAAAGGCTACAATCATGTAGAAATGCGATCAAACAGGCTTAATATTTCAAATGAAGAAAGCGAAAAAATAAAGTGCACAAGATGCATACTTTTTGCCATTTTAGGAGCAGTAGAAATGATATGGATTAGAAAAGGTTGTACCTCGAAAGATTTATTGCATGGGAAACGAGCAAATATAGTCTTCAGAATCTTGAGGAACGCACAGTGGTGAAATTACAGCAATAGTAATAGGTGCGTAAACTCTAATGCGTTTCACTTAATTTTTTTCTCTCCAGAACTTTCCATATGCATTCATTGAGGGCTGCACAGTAAAGTTTAGCGAAGTAATTTCGGTCAAGTTAACAATACGTTGAAAATCGTTCGTGATTTTCACGTGTAACGGAGACTGAGTATATTTAGAGTGAATAGAAAAACACAAAATATCCATCCAAAAATACATATACCCGTATATACATACGTAAATAGACACATACACATACATACATTCATACATACGTAATACCTACATAGAACCATACATACATACATACATACATACATGCATACACACACATGAATATTCCTGAGTTACGACGACGAGTGACGTAATTACGCTGACGAAAAGGAGATGGAGAGGACAGGAAAGTTCAGAGAAAGTAACAAACTTGACCATCGCATTTTGGACTTCACGGTTATTTTAACACTATCTCAATGTCAATTTGTAATCAGATTTCTAGGAGTTGGCACGGAACAAAATGAATCTTATTTAATACAATCCCACACGACTTCGTTAACATTTGTCGTCAATATAACCTAATTTTTGTGCACTTGAATTTATGCAAAAATAAAGCCGGTAGTCACTGTCTATAAGTTACATCACTTCAACATCGGTGATAACAGAGTAGTTACAAATTAGTACAAACAAGTAAGTATGCGTTCAAGAAAGATTTTGGAGTTCCGATACGTAGAGTTACAAAGTTTCAAGACAAGTAGATGAAATGGAAAGCCAAGAAGTAAGGAGTGTGGAAGACACAATAACATATTTATGTCTGAAAACTCAAGACATTCTGAGTGGCATAGCTCTTTCTTTATTAGTTTTCAAAACTCGCTTTAATTTTTTTGTATCTTATTGCTAATATTGTCAAAAAACCTACAGCTCTTGTTATTACTACTTCGTGCCAAAGGTATGAACCCTTCTCGAGTAGGAATTACTTATCAGGTTCATTCGGTGCACATTTGACCAATTTTCGTCTTCCTAAGTAGCTTCATTGAACGAACGGAGTTCCATTACCGCGTACTACTTATTTACTTACTTATAATGATACACATTATCGTCTCTTTGGTGCTGTCAATGGGATTGAATGGTGATCAGCTAGCACCAGAGAAATCAAGCTCGTTCTAGCCTATCAGTAAAAGGATACACTGATTACTCATGTCGAGGTTGAATGAAAATTGATTTTTAAAG